TCTGTTGTGGCTTTAGTGTGGTTGTTTTCTGTTTAACTAATTTAGTCTTTGTTGTTGTTCTATAGTTGTTTGTTTTATATGCTAATTGTAATTTTTTTTTTAAATAAACATACATTGCCCCCTCCCCCACTAACTCAAAATTCGGAGTTTCGTATCTGTGTCGGTCAACCTATTCTCCTAACCCCTTCCCCCCCCCGTCCCCCAACCCTTAATTCAATGAACATTTCTTTCAGTTTTGACAATACCACCATTCTTAAAGGTTGACCTTAATTTTTACACTTTTCATTTTTTTTCATTCCACTTCAAAAAAAACCACCCTACCCTAATTTGCTTACTTTTTTATAAGTTTCTAGAAATTATTTGTTACATTATCTTTATTTTTAATTTGTAATAATTTTGGTCATTTTCTGTAGGACTGATGAGGATATAAAATATATCGAAATTAATTTCCAAACCCGAGTTTTTCTACCTGTGAGAGTGAAACCTTTTTTTGCCAGTTTGGACAATTTACAGGAGGGATTGACATATATAGCACGCTATGTTCAATTTTTATAACAGAAGTTTTTCAAGAAAATTTTTAATTTTTATTATTTTAATTATCTATTTTTTGTTGCTTATCTTATTTCTCTAAAATATCTATTTTCTATTTTGTACAATTGCTGACCTTTAAAGTTCGTATTGGAAACTTCACGAAAAGAAGTAACTTGAAAGAAACAACTTTGGAAACTTGAAATGTCTAATCTGGAAAATTTCAAAGATAAATTACTAATATACAGTATACAGTATACAGTATATAGCATACAGTATACAGTATACAGTTAGTACTAGTATAACCAGGAAATGACGGAAAAATTTGCGATCTCACTTTTTCTTTTTAATAGAAATTTTGAAATTTGTTCCTGTTAAATATTGGAAAAGGTGCTCTCTTACCATTCTTACAAAATTGCATAAAACAATTATTTACAAATGTACCAATAGTGGTATGTACACTGTACACAGCACAGGGTTACAAACTAAAACGGTCTGAAACTCTTATATTACATGTGTTCAAGGTTAATTTAAGTTTTCTGCCATGATTGATTATACCATTTTTATGGCATTTTCAATGATTGGGCAAAAAATATCACACATGTATTGTACACTGTGCAGTTGCCGTTGAACCCTTAATAGAAGTAAACAGGCAGTGTCAATTCCGTACAGTCGTCTCTGAAGTTTTATCCTTTATATAGTTAAAAAAAAAAAGACCAATACGACATTCATTTCATTTTTTTTTGTTATCCTAGAGTTTAAACAGTTAATCATCGCTTTTCGATATAAAATTCAATATTACAGAAACTTTATCATGTAAAATACAAAGGTAATTCAGATTGTCCATTAAATTCGTGTGATGATTTCAGTAAAGGGAGTGACCGACAAGGCAATGACTGGTAGTTGAACTGAGAATATAGTATTGTGGAGACATTTTTTACGATTAATTTGAGACATATAAAACGTTAATGGTGTATAATTACTGAGTTTGAGCACAAAGTCGACGTTCAAAATCATCCATTTGGGTGGTTACGTTTTGAGAATGGATCTTTTTTAAATTTTTAAATAACGACGACGAAAAAGGTAACAAAAATGTTACAGTTAACTAAGTAGATGTTTAGGAACATATTTCTCAATATAAAGGAATTGAGTTTTTGCCACAAACTCAAATCTTCTGATCCCAATATCTTTGGAACCTGATTGTGCAAACCTTTGATATTTCAAACTTGGATTATTTTATCTATAAGTATTAATAGTTTGAAATATCTAAGCTCTACGACATTGGGTTACAAAGATAAAGAGATTAGAAAATCAGAGTTTGTGGCAGAAACTCAACTCCTTTGTCCATAAATCAATGTTAGAATCAACTTTTTTTTCACCATTATATTGAATTTCTTATTCTTTTCGAACTTGTTCGCAGACCTCTTCAAATTACTCATATGCCGTCTTTTCGATCTAGACTACAGTTAACGACTAATGTTTGTATAAGAAATTGTCTAGTCTTCATAAGTTTAAGTTTAGCACAAATATAGATGTTTCCAAATCAAAAACAATACGTATAGTTTTCAGTAAACCTGTCATGAACACTGATAATATTTGCCCGATTTTTTAAATAAATTATTTTCATCCTGTCTAAAGATGTTTATAGCTGTAAAGGTGTTAAATTTATTTCTAAAATACATTCTCTTAATCAAGAATTTCATTATGCTAATACATCCACACAGTTAAGATTGTATGATATATAATTGTGATTTCTATGGCTCTAATGTTCAAAAACTCCCGAATTCATGGAACATTGCTATTCGCATTTTATTTGTTTTACCAAGAGAATCCCATAGATATTTCATTGAGCCCATTTCTATGTTTATCATTTTAGAATAGTTTTATGCACTCGTTTTGTACAATTTGTTTATCAGTTATCAGTTTATCAAATTGTCATAAGCTATGTATTCGACCTTTAGTAGGTCTAAATAAACATGATTATTTAAGAACTGTTTAATGTAAAAATCTTGAATTTATTGCACAAGATTGTAATGATCATTTAAGAACTGTTTTATGTAAAAATCTTGAATTTATTGCACAAGATTGTAATGATCATTTAAGAACTGTTTTATGTAAAAATCTTGAATTTATTGCACAAGATTGTAATGATCATTTAAGAACTGTTTTATGTAAAAATCTTGAATCTATTGCACAAGATTGTAATGATCATTTAAGAACTGTTTTATGTAAAAATCTTGAATCTATTGCACAAGATTGTAATGTACAATCTAGATCTCTAAACAAATGTTGTGTGAAATAGAAATAATATACAATCAGATTCCTTTAGACTAAGAATGAAAATTACTCATTTTTCATGAATTACTCAAAGTTAAAGATTTTAATTTTGTTGATATTGAGATCAAAACCATGATTAACTTTTTATGTTCTGACTGGAAACTTTATTTATACATCTTTATTCTTGTTTTGTTTTATCATAATATTGTACCATTTAACCTTTGTGTACGAAATAAATCTATAATAATAATAAATAAATAAATTATTTTTCCTGTATTCCCTGTATACATGATAAAAAATTAGACAGAAGACGACATCTCCAGAACTGTGTTCCTATTTCTGAGTTGGAAACTTTTGTGTGGAATATCCTGAATCTTAATCTCGATATCCATTGTTGGCTCTTTTAAATCTGATGATCATTGCTTGATCCTTTTATCTTTGACCAAGACGGAATATCGAAGAGAATCTAAACTTGATCCCGAGATTCACAACACCAAAGATCTGACTTGTACATCCTGTACATCCTGTACATCCTGTACATCCTGTACATCCTGTACATCCTATACATCCTGTAAATCCTATACATCCTGTACATCCTATACATCCTGTACGTGTACATCCTATACATCCTGTCCTGTACGTCATGTACATCCTGTACTTCATACTAAACATCCTAAACATCCTATACATCCTGTACATCCTATACATCCTGTACATCCTATACATCCTGTACGTCCTGTACATCCTATACATCCTGTCCTGTACGTCATGTACATCCTGTACTTCATACTAAACATCCTAAACATCCTGTACATCCTATACATCCTATACATCCTGTACATCCTATACATCCTGTACATCATGTACATCCTATACATCCTGTACATCCTGTACATCCTATACATCCTGTACATCCTATACATCCTGTACATCCTATACATCCTGTACATCCTATACATCCTGTACATCCTGTCCTGTACGTCCTTTACTTCCTGTACATCCTAAACATCCTGTACATCCTAAACATCCTGTACATCCTATACATCCTGTACATCCTATACATCCTGTACGTCACCTGATTTTTGTATTTTTATGAACATTTCCTTTTGCTGTACACACTTTACATGATGCTTAAAAAAGTTTAGGCTACAAGCACTTGTTAAGATAAAAATGTTATTTATAAATCTAGTTTTATTATGTTAAGTCTTGAAACCACCAATTGAAAATTTGAAATGATAATAGTGATGTGCCTCTAGGTCCAGGTGCCTTGGTCGTTCATTAATTATATTTACTTTTAGGACCAAAATTATGTATAGTTTAAGAAAAGAAAATGTAGATATTCTAAAATGTTTATTCTAAATATTTATTTTCTTGCACTACGTCGAATGTTAACCCTGGCAGAAATTATTTGCAAAAAAAAGACCAAAAACGATCCAACATATTTTCTTTTCTTTGGTTGAAGATATTGCTGAGCAAACTTGAACATAATACAATTTTGAAAGCTTTGAAATTTTATTAAATGTTTTCTGAAAACAATCCGAAACGATTAACAACGCTAAAGAATTGCTTTTTAACGTGTGCTAAAAAATTCAAACGTCGAAATTAAAAAATTCACTGATTTCAACGAAAAATATATATTTTTTTGTACATTTCTTATTTGAACTTTGCATCTTGGGGTCATACTCCTACTCTTCTTATTCCAAAGTTTTATGTGTCCCAGTTTTACATGGTCAACAAAAGTGTAACTGTAATTATAATACTATTCTATCTTTGTATCTCAAATTAATTGAAATTCTAACATTTAGTCGCTGGATAATCAATAAAGTATTTTTAAACTTAATTATAATTTATTGAATGAAAACTTACAAGGATGTATAATTAAATATATCAAATATAAACAAGAACAGTACAATACAATTGCTAGGTGTTTTCCACAAGTACATGGTGTACACTGTACATAACTGCAGCAGTTTCCAGTCTAGTATGTACAACTTTAATTGTAAATGTTAATTACCAAAATTTTAAGCAATTTAAGAACTTTTTTTATTATTTTCTACAATTTTAAATCGACTATAAGCAGCATGTATACTGTACACTGTATAGATCTGTCCAAACCATGTACAGAGTGCAAATACTGTACAACACACTGAGTAATTTTTTTTTTCAAAATTAAATAACAACTATAGTTAGAAAACTCGGGTCTAGGCAAAATTTATTTCTTTTATCACATTTGTAATATTAGACGGACTAGGCACTTTCAGAATACATAAGAATATGCATGTAATTGTATTGACTATATGTACTGAACTAGAAGAACTATTGCACCAACCAAAACAATGAAGGGGGGGGGGGGTAAAAACATGTTGAAGAAGAAATTAAATAGATTTAAACCATGTTTGAGTATGATTCAATTATTTAGGCCGTGTTGCACTTTTTGTCTGGTCGGAAATAATTTTAACATCTATTGAACAGGAATAAAATTTTCACCTAAAATATACTGAGAAATTTTCACTAATGAGATTTCTATCCGCAGCGTCTGGCAAGTATTGAGTAAGCTGACTAACTGAGCAATGGGTTTATCTAGGACGGATTTGAAAATATATAGGTGTAAGGTTTAACTGATAGCGTCTAGAGGTTCTGCTGGAGTACCGGGACCTGAAAGACTATCTTGGATTGATCGGGTTTCAGACAACGCGTCCTGAATACTCTCTATAGGTTCAGGTTTCAGGTTAGCGATTAGAACTTGCGCGATTGAGTTTGCATCGAGTTGGGATACGAGGGAGGCTTGCTGCATGGACGGAAGATCGTCGTCTAACACCGGGATTGACTCGATCGGAATCGGGGGTTGGCGGAGACCTGCCATTTTAGTTTCTCTTGATATGAGATTGTTTTGAAGGAAATTTTGAATCTCAGCTCTGGTCTTGAACCCGAACCCTTGGGGTGAGTAGTATGTTATATCCGGAGACAACGAACCCTGTTTTTGTCGTCTGAGAACCCACCAGGAGGCGGGGAGAGTATTAAGACGATAAACTTCCTCCTGACAAACCTCCTCCTGGTTATACGTCTCATCTGCCAGCAGGGCGTTGAGTAGCTCCGCCTGTATCTCCGGACTGTGCTCCTCCAGGTTCTCAATGACTAGTTGGTTCTTGTTCTGGTTCTGCTCCATGAGAGAGAGGAGCTTGCTGTTTCCAGACCCGGAGAGGGTTGTGTAAAGGATATTAGTTTGAGCAAGGGATGCACCAGGAAGGTGCTGAGAGAGGGTGGTGGAGAGACTATTGTTGTTACTGAGACTGATGGAGGTGAGGGAGGAGGAATCTACTAGACGGGTTATATGAGGCAGAGATGAGTTACGAGAGGTTTTAACGAGTAAAGAGTCACAGTTTAGATATGAGGATTCAAGTTTTTGCTCCAGGGTGGGAACACTGTTTACAGTATGAAGAATATCTTGGACTGTACTCGTGTCATCGTCATCAGATCTCTGGGCCAGGTTCAGGGCTGACATCATCTCTCCATCACTTCCAACCTGGAATTTTTCTTTTGTATTATTGTTCCGTCTTTCTTGACTGGAACCAGCATGCATTGGTTCATCCTTACCTCCGGCATAGAGCGCTGAATCGCTGTCTTGTTCCCTATCCTCATCCTGGCTGTCGGGGTTGGAGTATTTCCGTCTCATAGCGGTCCGTTTTGAAGGATTACCGTTTGTGACGTACATGTCGTCTTCATCGTCTTCCATGAGTTCTTCTCCTTCAGAGTCTTCTCCTCCAATTTTCTTCCTGTATCCAGGGGATACTCCGGAGAGTCTTTCCTGCAATCCCTTGCTCATCTTTGGACTCCCGCGTTTTCTTCGTCGTCCTCCACCTGGTGGATTTCTATAGAAATTTTTAGATTGAATGCCGTGAGTAGTTTCATGACGCTGTAAGTGCGCCTTTTGCCTAAATGTCTGATCGCATAATGTGCACGCAAATGGTCGAATATCTTCATGCATGCGCATGTGCACAACAAGATTGTAGGACTTGGAGAAGGTCTTCCCGCACACTTGCCCGTTCTCAAACACCCAGTTGCAGGTCTTACTGCTAGGGATAACAGTTCCTGCCACGGTCTTCGTCGAGTAGCTCATCTTGAGGGAGGAGTTCTTACATCTATTCTCCGACTTTGGGGAGGGTGGATCCAGGTATAGTGTGGAGCTGAGATCCGACAGAGAATCCACCGATTTGATTGTTGTGAGATGATTGTATCCGTTCAGACTAGAGACGGGGAGATGGTGAAGGATCTGCTCTCCGTTTTCTCCCTGGAGCACAACCACGTTCTTCAACCGTTTAGTGTCGAGTATCTGGTGTGAGGTGGTCATTATCCTCTTCACTCCCTTACTGGAGTTATTGACTAGATTGAGAGGAGTTTCTGGGGAGCTGATGGTGTAGTCTAGAGGAGATACACATCCAGTATCCTCCTCCTTCATATTCTCCAACATACTAGCGATAGAATCTCCGCCCTCCTGTTTGACCTCCTGGAAAACCAGCTTACTGACCTCAGGTAGCTCCTGGACTACAGAGAGCTGACCGGCCAGCTTGGTTGTATCTATTGTCTGTATTGTGTGCTGAGAGGAGGGGAGATTACTCGTCCTCAACTGAAATAAAAATATTTTGTTAGTTTTTAGGATAAGAATTTACAATTTTTCATTATGTTCCCATTCTTTATTGCAANCTACTTTAGTCCTTCCTACTGATTTGAAAATGCATATATGTTGAATATTGACCGGGATTTGGAACTTGACGGGACAGAATATCGGAAACAGATGAGATAATTCCAAACAGGATGTAAATAGATGTTATGAATTTTATTAAACAAGGGGAGGTAACCTTTCTCCCCTCCTTCCCCCCCCCTAATTGATATTGTTTGATGGGTGCACCTGATCTATATTTTGAAAATAAAAATTCATATTACACTGTACAGTGATTCTCTTAAAAAATGAGAAACTGTTTTCCTAGTTTTGTTGAATATTCTTTTTTTTTAATATGATTTAAAACCAACTAAGGTACAGTTCAGGGGGTACCCTATGCCCTGGCACTTGAAATAGGTTTTTATTTTCT